TACGTGCAAAGTCGGTGATAAGTCTAATTTGGTCGGACACATTCGAGGGAAAATAACGAAATTATATTTACGACAATTGGAACATATCCGTCATAATCTGTGAAACTGATATTCGATAACGATCAACCAACTCGTGATTGCATCTGTAAACATTTAGGAAGGTATGATTTCAACCTCACCACATGGAACTCTTGGTTTGATAGATGCTTGTGAGCAGCAACCCTCTATTACGAAAACCATGATAGGCGCTGCTGGAATGTTGGTACATAGAAATGAAAAAATCATAATTGGGAAGCTAAAATCATCTCTTTTGTGATAAACAAACTTTTATTATCAATTTATAAATGTAAGTCAAGATAAGAGGTAGACTTAACTGTATCTGTTGTATCCTTTATCTCAAGTTCAACGGGATTGATGCCTTCAACTTAGTCATCAAATTTTAAATTATTTAGTGAGAGAAAATCATTGTTATAGCAGAAAGAGAAGTTGAAGGAGACTGTTAATTTCTTTCCTTTTTTTCTAAGAAGTTCCTGTATGAAGCCAGCCTCTTATGAATAAAAAAAATAAGTCGTCAAGAAAAGGTGCACAGTTGCTTCCCATTGGAATTCCTAATTTTTGTTGAAAAACACCTCCTCCAAACGTAACAAATATGTTCTCAATCAAGTTATCAAGAATCTTGATATTGTCAGTTTCAGAGAATTTTATGTTTAAATCAGAGTGTTTTTTTTTCTCTACGTTGGTCATTCTTTTTTACGAGACCATGCAGGAACAACGCTTTCAATTTATCTTTAATTTGTGTAATTGTGTAGAAAAGTGTAGATATGTCTTATGCAATACATGTTTTTCTGATCGATTTTTTCTATTTATAAAATAACCCCAAACGTTGCAGGTGAGTTCGATTTTGATTCCTAATTGACTCTGATTGTCACTTTCCTGTCGAAGGTCTTGGTTTTTTTCCGGCCTTCTCTGTCAATACAAACTATCGTTACTGTATGTCCAGTAGTGCTGCAAGTGACGTTAAACACAATCAATCAATCAACCAATATTATCTAGAAATATAAGTACACGTATTCATCCCTAAATGGTGCACTATACACATGATAAAGTAATTGACTAACTGCATGAAATGCAAAAAGTAAAATAACAAAAATACCGAACTTATAAAATGGCAAAAACAAAAGCTCATCCACATCTAACGAATGGAAAACAACTGTCATATTCCTGACTTTGTACAGGCATTTCCTTATGTAGATAAATGGTGGATTTGATAGCTAGTTAAACATTTTACTTGTATGACAGCAGCATATAATTCCATTATATTGACGACAATGTGTGAGTAAAACAAACAGACATAATAGGTTAAAAAGTCAAAAGTTGGGGTACAGCCGTCAACATAGTAATATAATCTTATATTACTGTAAAAACAAAAAAAAAAACTATTAATTTTCAACAAAGAAACACAAAATGGAGTATAGACAATGTACATAAGCAAAAATGAAAGACAAGAACTCAAAATTTAAAAAACCCGTCAGTATCTAGAATCTATACTTCATGTCCATAATGTATTATTTGTGAAGTTGATACAGAATATTTATAAACAAGGGCCCGTATGCATGAAGCTACTTAACCTAAGATTTTCCTTAGTAAACACTTAAGTTAAGGAAACTCCTCCCTTTTTACCTAAGTGGTATGCATAAAAAAACTTCAACTAAGTATTTCCTTAGTAAAATCTTAGTTGTTTTTAGTCACGCCCACAAAACTTAAGTGGTATGCATAAAACCCCTTATGCTACGAAAACGCCTAAGATTACACTTAAGTCTTATGTACCTATAGAGCTATCTGAAATTTAAAAAAAATAGTTAAAAATCAGTCAAAAGTATGCGTTTTTTGCAGAACATTTATAGATTAGCTACAATTTAAATGATTAATAATTATATCAGTAATAGACTACTAATAAATCTTTTGTTTATTGCTAAATATTAACGATCATCGTAATTTTCTTAAAATCACGTATAATCAACAAATCAAGATAACAGAGGGTAGTTATATAATGTAACTTCATTCTACCCTTATATCCCAATCTCGTTGTTGTGTATACCGAAAAGTACTCATGGAATTCATGCTATTTTTTTCCTTTTGTTTACTCTGCACATGCATGTTTACATAAATAATTCTAAACGTTGAGTTCTTAGAATACACAGAGTGGTATTAACTGCAACCGGTAGTGACCTCCATTTTGTGGGAACAATTCGGTTGTTTATAATAATAATAATAATAATGAAAATTTATAAAGCGTCCTATATAAAAAATAAAAATTACTCTAAGGCGCTGTACATTCAACATGGTAATTTAAACAAATCAATGACAAAAACATAAAACATAAAACATACATTGTGTCAGATTCAAATACTGAAAAATAAAAAAAAATGCCTACCATAAAATAAAAGGTCAATACGCAAATACATGTTAAAACAAAAAAATTAAAAATTAGCAATATAGGCTAAGAGCATGCAAAACAGGCAAAAAATCTAAAAAGGAATACAAAAGTTGCATTAAAAGTTGATACAAAACAAGTAAAACCCGTAAAAGTGAAAAAGAAAAAAATCTAATTAAAAATCAATTCGATAAAAATGAGTTTTTAGCTGAGATTTAAAACACTCTAGGGACTTGCATTGTCTTAAACTGTTCGGGATATTGTTCCATAGAGATGCGGCTGCCCAATCAAATTGTCTTTCACCGTACGTCTTCGTCCTCACTTTTGGAACGGTAAGTTGTTTTGTAGAGCTTGAACGCAGAGATCGGTTTGGCACTTGTAAATTGACTAGTTCCCGAATGTTAGCAAGACCAATGCCATTCAAAGCGCAGTACAAATACGTAAGTATTTTGTAATGTGGTCGGTATTGGACGGGTAACCAATGTAAATCAGCAAGTATCGGAGTAATATGTTCATGTTTTCTTGTCCTGGTGATAAGACGGGCTACTGTATTTTGTACTTTTTGTAATCTGTTCATCGTAGTCTTGTTGATACCGTTCAGCAGAATATTCCCATAATCAAGTCTGGATGTTACTAGACTGTTCACTCGTGTCTTGCAAGCGGTTTTTTTTATAAAGCTGCGAATGCGTCCAATATTACTGATATGGAAATGACCAGATTTTACTATGGCAGAAACTTGCCGTTCCATCGTAAGATGTTGATCAAAATATACACCTAGGTTTTTCACGCAGGATACACTACTCATCACATTATTGCCGATTTTGAGTTGGAGATTTGGCACACTTGCCTTTAGATGTTTTGGTGTGAATATGATCAGTTGGGTTTTATCTTTATTCAATTTTAACATATTTGTTGACATCCATGAACTAATTTCGGAGATACATAGTTCAAGTTTTGAAAAGTAGTTCATCCAGTTGTCTAGCGGCTTGATAACCATTATCTAGGGAATCACTGGAACGACCCCCCTCTTATGGCAGTCAGTGCCTCCCGCCCCCATGTAAAAATTTCTGGATCCGCCACTGCTACCCCATGGAATTCGAAGTTTATATTACGTATTTATGATACCTAAAACGTATTGAATTATTTTTCATATTTCCTTATATATTCAGTGATATACTGCTGTTAACGAAAATATTAAATATTGCTAAAATGTCGATAATACCTTACCGTAAACATATAAATCAATTAATGTGTTTTAGTAAAGATTGTTGGACTTTTGAAAAATGCCCTCGTTTTTAAATGGATTCGTGGAAAATTGATCCTATCCTCCTTTTTTTTTTTGTTGCAAAAGGGAAGTTGTAAAAAACCTTTATTTTAATTCGAAATAGATTTTTTATAAGAAGTTGAATGATTATAGGAAAATTCTTGTCTAAAAAAATATGTTTTATAAAATTATTTGTAAGCACATGCTTACAATGCTATCTTGGTGCTACACCATTGAAACTTTATCATGTTTTGTTAGAGTTTAAAATATATTTTTGTCTCCAGAAAATATAACATCCATGAAAGATGAATTAAAGATTAAGTAGGAGGAAGTTTTGGATTTCAAATATTTTTTTTCCCATGCTCATCCATTGAAACGTCTGCGCCAATTTTTTTGAATTGTTTTACTTACCAACATCAATTTAACCCCAGCTCTTAATAAAAGTATGTATTGATCAATCAATGTAAATAATCATAACAAACTTTTACACGGCTGACTACATGCGATGAGCTAATATATATCATACGGTAATGCGAGAAAGGTTCCGATTTAAGTATTCCTTAATTAATTAAAGACTTAAGTAAGTTTATGCATACGACTTAAGATCTTTACTTAACTAAGGGAATTCTTAGTGAAATCTAAGTTTGAGGAACACTTAAATTAAGATGTTTTATGCATACGGGCCAAGATCTTAGTATCTTCCAATGAACTTTTTTAGAAACAGGACGAGACGTTCTTTGACATAACATTGGCTAATCAACTTTCTGCTCAGACGATGGTGACGTTTTATAAAGTCTGAGTAATAGCTGCAAGCTCTGGAATTCCGAATGAGTTGAAAATGTATATCCAATATGCAGGTGAAGTTGATATGTTGCTGCTAAGGTAAAGAAAATTAATAATTTCTAAATTAAAAGCGTCTCGCTTGGCATAGATTTTGGTATTTAGATGATCACTTATGTCAAATTCGAGGTATAAGTCTTAAAATGAGGCGGAGGAAGCCGTGTCTGTTGTTTCTTTAATTTTTAGTTCTGGAGGATATATTAATAGAACCCATTCAGAAAAGTTTGGATTGTTAATGGAAAAAACATCAACAATATATCTGAATGTGAAATTATATGATCTGGCCTTTTTAATTTTTTTGTTTTGACAAGTGTCTGAAGGAAGTCCGACTCAATTGAAAATAAGTAGATGTCGGCAATACGTGGCGCACAGTTCGTTCCCATAGCACAGTTGTTCCGGACCACATGTAAATTTTCTTATACTTTACTATATCAAATGAAGTCAAAAATTTATTTTTTTTAGAGAAAATATGGCTTCCAGTCAAATGTGTGGACCATGTACAAGAATGGACAAATCAGCTTCTGCCGTAAAATTTTGCACTGATTGCCAAGATCCCTTATGCACAGATTGTGTTGCCATTCACAAAGCAATTAAGGCTCTCGCTTTACACCATTTGGTCGATGAAGAAGTTCAAACTGACAAGGCTTTTAGCATAAGAAGAACCTGCAGTGACCATCCAGATATGAGTTTAGAGTTTTACTGCTCGAATCATGAAAGCTTATGCTGTCGTACATGTTCCGTTAATACCCATCGCACATGTGGCAAAATTTTACCGATTGATGTTGCTGCACGTGGAATAAAGACATCAGTTATGCTCAACGATGTATCAGCAGATTTAAGTGCTTTATTAAAAACTGCCAAACAATTAGAAGAGGACAGAGCAAAAAACAAAAACAATGCAGGAAAGGCTATTGCGACCACTTTACAAAAAATGGCCAAATTTAAACATGAATTGATTCAGAGGTTAGATGAACTAGAAAAGAAATTAATGTCAGAAGTTGCTGTTACTGAGGCAAATCTTATCAAAAAGGCGGAATCGGACATTTCAGACATTGAAATCCGACGAAAGGATATCGAAGATATATCAGAACAATTGGAATTTCTTACAAATCACGGATCAGAAAGCCAAATATTGATGTTGTTGAATACCATAAGAGTGGATATTTCAAAGCAGGAGAGCGACTTTAAAAATTTGGTCCCGTCATACGAATGTGTTGATGTTGAGTTCAAGGCATCAGGAATAAAGACCGCACTTAACTCTCTTGGATCGGTGGAAATAAAATCTGTTCCATGTTCAATAACACACAAACCCTCTAAACACACACAAGCTCAGATACCACCAGAATATGCGAAAATGCCAACAAAATTCAAACTCAAAAATGAATTTAAAGTATCTTGTTTTGATGGGAGAATAGGAAACATGATTGTAACGAATGATGATAGGCTGCTGTTATGTTATATGGGAGACAAGAGTAAAGCATTGTCGATATGGTCAGGGGCAGGAGACCACATTAAGGACTGTAAACTGGCTACTCCTGCATGGGGTATAGCTATAATACCAGGAACAAATGAAGCAGTTGTAACATTACCATCTATCAATTCGATTCAGTTTGTTAACATAACCAGTATGGTACCAGGTACAGTAATGAAGGTTCATGGGCAGTCCTTTGGAATCACAATTGTAAAGAACATGATAGTATTAGGTGGGAGGGGAAGGGTTTATTTCCTCAGTATGACAGGAAGTCTCTTGAACTTATTCAATGTCGGTAGTAGTAATTTGACTTCATTGAAGGCAAATAAGATGGATATGATTTATTGCTGTGACCTAAATAATGATACACTCCATTGCATTGATATCAAAGGAACTGTTTTTTTCTCATATAAATCTCCTGATGTTATTGGACAAGACATTGCATTGGATGGTAAAGAAAATATATATGTGACAATCTGTACATCAAACAAATTGCATCGTCTGTCACCAGATGGAAAACTCCTTGACGTCCTTCTGAAGGCTGAAGATAGATTGAATGAACCGTTTGGAACTGCCTTCAACAAGAACTATACCAAACTATACATAGTAAACGGACCTCGTCGTGAAAATAAACATATATCGATATTTGAGTGTGCTTAGAAACAGCATATAACTCTCTTACATCACTAGTTATTCATACCCTGTCATGATCCTGAAAGCCAATGTTGACTTTTGTATATATGTTCTGTTTCCTTGTTCGAAATGTTTATGCTGATTTAAATGAAACTAAAAGGACAGCATACTGTACAAGAATGTATTGCATTTTATTATATTACCACAAATCCACTCATTAAAGCATTGATGTAAAGAAATAATACATAAGAAAATAATAACTTAACATGAATTGGTTACGTTATTTTACACGAACCTGAGAAATGAGTTATCTCTTAAGTATCAGACTGTATTCCTTGCAAATAATGTATCTGGTGAGGAAGTTATATTGACAGTTCTAAGAGGTTTAAATTATCTTTCAATTTTCTCAAAAAACACATCTTTATGCTTTTTAGTTTACAACTCTAAAATAAAGACTAACAAGCACATAATTTCAAATAAGTTGAAAAAAAAAATATTTCCGATTGTTCAGAAAGATTTATTTTTTTTAATCTTTTATGCACTAAAACATGTCCAATTTTCTTTTTTGTGACCTTCCGCATATTTCATTAAAGAAATAGTAAAGCTTCACACATTTTCGTTTGGCCATTTCAAACATGAACTAATCATTCAAATAATATATTTTTCAGATAATACACTGCATTCAAAACACCAGTTAAGTTTCATTTTATGATTATGACTGAAATCACTATATCAAATTTTCTGTAGCCATAATGTTTCAAAAGCCTGTAAATGCTTAATAGATGTTCAACATCAACTTAAAGAAAAGTAGCAAAAGAAATATATGTTATTACATAATCATTGTTTCATGTTTTTTTCTTTTTAAATTTGGTGATAAATTAAAAACGATACCTATTTGTAATATTCTCTTCTCTAAAGATTCAATTAAATATTACAATGTGATTATATAATAAACTTATTTTTGTCCTTTCTTAAGAAGAGGCGAAAGAAATCAAAGGGACATTCAAACTCATAATTTTATTAATTGTGAAATTGTGACTTGGATGGAGAGTTGTCTCATTGGCACTCATACCACATCTTCTTATATCTATCATAAGTCGAAAATAGACTGGCAATGCCATGGCTTAAAAGAAAAAGACAAACAGACAAACAACAGTACACAATACACAACATAGTAAACTTAAGACTGAGCAACATGAACCCGACCAACCACTGGGGGTGATCTCAGAAGCTCCGGAAGGGTAAGCAGATCCTACTCCACATTTGCCACCCGTCGTGTTGCTTACCCGGTTAAAAGTCTAATTAGGTACCTCACATTCGGGGAAAAGGGGACGGGACTTACAAATTTGGAACATATTCGCTATTTGTGAAACGAATATTTCATAACGGTCAAACAACTCGTGATTGCGACCGAAATATTTACGAGGGGAAGATTTCAACATCACCACTTGAAGATCTTGATTTTTGTAGCTTCCTTGTGAGCAGCAACCCTATATCAAGGAAATCATGATAGGAAATACAAGCCCTGGAATATCGAATCAACTTGGGTATATGTACTCCGTATGCAGGCGCTGCTGGAATGTTGCTACATAGAAATAGAAAATTCACAAATGGAAAATTGAAATCATCTCTTTTATCGTAAAGTGCTGTTGTCAGTTTGACCATCATTGTCAATTTAAAGATGTGAGTCAAGATATGAGACAGACTCAACTGTATATTTCCTTTATCTCAAGTTTGATGGGATAGATGCGTTCAACATAGTCACCAAATTTTGAATTATTTAGTGAGAGAAAATCTCTATATTGTAGAAAGTAAATTTAAAGGATGTTGTTAACTTCTTTTCATTCACCCTAAGAAGTTCCTGGATTAATTCAGACTCACATGAATAAAAAAACAAGTCGGCAAGAAGAGGGGCACAGTTTGTTTCCTTGGGAAGCCGATTGTTTATTAGAAAATAACGTCCTCCAAACGTAACAAATTTGTTGTGAGTAACATAAATCAAGCATGTTGATATTGTCAGTTTCAGAGAATGTTTTGTTTGAATCAGAGTAGTTTTTTACGAAGTAGGATTTATCCCTCCCTACTACATTGGTCTTTTTTATGAAATAAAGAAGGACTAACTCTTTCAACTTGTCTTTTAGTTCGCATATTGAATACTTGTGTAAAGTGTAGAACAGTCAAATGTTTTGATACTATTGCATGATGAAAGGGTCTTAGATTGTATGTACTATAAAAGATCTTTGGAATATTTGAGTATACACATCTGATTCACGCCACCTATAGAAAAAAGAGTTTCACAATAACTTTGCAGCCCGGCTTTGATTGCTGATAAAATTGATGCTAATAATTTAGAAAAGGGTTACGTGGAACACTTAGAAGACACAGCAATATAACGTTGTTTGTAAGGACACTTATGTAGTTTAGGTATCCAATACAGTGATGGAAGATTCAGTTCTTCTTCTTTGTTTGAAATTCCAAAGGAACATAGAACAGACCTATGATTAACCAAGATTTCCTCTTTGTGCATACACCAAAAAATGTGCATCAGTTATAAAGCTATTTTGAAATGACAGATAGCAAGCAATGCAAAGAAAATCACATGGCACAATAAAAAGGAAAATACTGTGTTCAACATATTCAGAGAGGAGAAATATGTTAATAAAAAAAAATTAATGTACAAAAGTAGAAATGAAATGATAGAGAACTTAAAAACTTATTCAACAGAGCTTCGGTTAAATCTCATCATTTGTTTTAATTTCCATTATGTTACATTTTTACTTTTAATTTTGTGCTGTTTTTATTCAAGCCATAATGATAGCATGCAATGCAAAGAAAATCACATGGCACAATAAAAATGAAAATACTGCGTTCAACATATTCAAAGAGGAGAAATATGTTAATAAAAAAAAATTTAATATACAAAAGTAGAAATGAAATGATAGAGAACTTAAAAACTTATTCAACAGAGCTTCAGTTAAATTTCATCATTTGTTTTAATTTCCATTATGTTACATTTTTACTTTTTAACTTTGTGCTGTTTTTATTCAAGCCATAATGATAGCATGTTTATATGAATAAAAAAAGTGTCATTTTTCTTTTAAAAATACAGTTATTTAAACTTAAAAATATATTTTATAGTGAAATCGAAGCATCTATTAACAATAAGGAGATGTTGTATGATTGCCAACGAGACAACTATCCACCAAAGTTCAAATGAAGTGGATAGGCAACTATACGACCTTTAAGAATGAGAAAAAACCTATTCCGCATAGTCGGCTATAAAAGGACCCAACCTAAAAAACTGTGACAAACTTACAAAAATATTAGTTATCCCTTCGTTGACATATACATATTTTGTACAGACTTACATAAATCTCAGTTATCCTTTACTGTTTCCCTTTGACATCTAAATTTTGAATAAACTTACATAAATATTAGTTATCCCTTACTGGTTCTCCTTGACATAAACATTTATCCATTACTGGTTCCCCTGGACATATAAAGCCTGTACAGAAATACAAAATTTTCTCAATTGAATTGTTTCACATTTTTCATGTCAGGGCTTTTTATATCCGACTATATGGTATGAGTTTTTTCTCATTGTTGGTTGCCTGTAATTGCATCCACTTCATTTGAACTTTGGAGGATATTTGTCTCATTGAAAATCATACCACATCTCCCTATTTTCATATGTAATGTTATTATTTCAGTTTAGAATAAGGAATACTGCTGTAAAGGTAGTGAAGTCAAATAGTTAATATATTGCATGATGAGAGGGATCGATATGTCTGCTTTAACAGTAGGAATTGGATGTTTTCTTCATTATCTGAAGCTGACTCATATGTCCTTTTCATTTTGTTAGTATCACAGTAGCTCTGGGGCACGATTTTATGCTGATTAATAGTGGATAACAGTTTTTTGTAGTGTTCATTTTTCACACATTTATTATATAACGTTGTTTGTATACTCGTAAGTAATTTGAGTATCCTGTAAAATAGAGGAAACTTATCCATTTTTTTTCATATATACCTATGATTGTTCAAGTTGTCTTGTCTAGTTAGTGATATATGTAAGTATATGCTGGCTTTGCAAGAGTGAATTATAAATGCACTGCTATCAGGAAGTTCAGGGTATATGTGTTTAATTCATCAGTTTGTGTTGGCAGGTTGTGTAAATTCATATAAAATCATGTTTGATGAGGGTGCTTACCGTTTGGATTTGATACGACTACAATTTCTTATTTATGATTCGTTGTCAACAAACACTGTTCCAGCTACTTTTTGTATGAATATAAGGGCATACGATACAGTTACAGGAGAGGTGATGACGTTGCTAACGTAAAATGTTATTTTTCAAGACGTCAAACTGTGACATATCGGGAAAAGAAGCATTTTAGACAGTTTTTCATCATTCAAAATGATTTAATTTGAAATTTGAGTTCATGGACTCCTGTATTAAAAAATAACATTTGGCTTAAATATGTCTGAAGATAATTTGTGCCAAATTTTATGAACAAATCAAGGATGATTTTGTTTTCTAAATTAGATAATTGTACAGAAAAAAGAAAAAAACATTTCTTCGACTGAAATCATGAAAATAGGAAATATTTTCATAGAATCGTTACACAAATTCAAATCACACTTATGTAGAAAAGATATTCCAGATGTTTTTACAAAAAATCGCTGGCGTTTATCTTTTGAAACATAAAAGTTAAGTATGTCTTTCAAAGGATAGATATATGTAAGAAACCAAAAATGCCAGTAAATGTCTAAAATTTCGACCCCATTTATTTCTAAAAGTAGCACATGAAAGTATATTTTCTATTACATATTTGAATTGACTAGGCTAAAAATAGCTTACATACAAACTTTCGCCAAAAATCACCGTGAGGTCAAAACTGTATCGTATGCTCCTACGTGTTTTCTATCATAGGCATACATTGCCTCATCCGTTGTTTGGCATAACTTTTCTGAATTTTCGATTTTTTTCTCGCCTTGACAAATTCAAAAAGCGAGACATAGTTATGCTGTTTTCGGCCGCGTAGGCGGCGTAGGCGGCGATGGCGGCGGCGTCAAAAATTCATTAGTTTGTACTTAAGTCGGTTTATGGGGAACCACTAGTGGTAGGTTGATGATATCTAGTATGTAGTTGTATAAGCACTGGTACATCTCATTTTCATGTAGATAAGTTGGCCCCGTCCCCTCAGTAATGGTCTATTGACTTTGAACGTTTTGCTTAGTATACACGTATTAGTTTGTGATGAGGTCAGTTTAAGGGAAGCCATTATCAGTGATATATGGTATGCAAATGTATTGGCATTTGCAAGTCTCATCCCCATGGAAAGAATATGGCCCCACCCCCTTATCATGGTTCATTGACTTTGAAACTTTTACATAATTTTAAAAAAAATAATTGTGTTTAGGTTTGTTTAACGGGAATGACTTATGATAAGTCAATTGTATTTGGTATGCAGTTGTATAAGCATTGACAAATCTCATTTTCATGGAGATTATTTGGCCCTGTACTTATGTCATGGTGCATGGACTTTGAATATTTTGCATAACTTTTATCTTCTATTTTGTAAATCATTCAGTTTTTTTTTCTTTTTATCCCTTTCTTTTTGCTTTAATTTTTTTCAAATCACTAACAATATTTTTTGCACGCCTCAGAAGTATGTTATTATATGTTCACATTTCTGATATACGAAATTTGAACCCCGCCTATATATTCTTGATAAAAATACATTTAACATGCTAAAAGAAAGATAACTCCATTGTGATAGGCAACGACGATCGACGACAGTAGGTATAACATTTCTTTTTTTATTATTTCCTAATACACACATACATGTATTTCTTTTCAAGAACAGATACAATCATATAATGGAAATACTACACAAACGAAATACACAATCATAATAATGTGTGATATCCATAGTTGATAATTTGATTAACATCTTTGTGTGATTTTACTTCCTGATAAATATATTTTCTGTAAAATATATCAAATAAAGGAATATGAGAAATTTAACAGAATGACATGATCAAGATGAGTGTTTTTGGATTAGAAACACGATTGTTTATCTATGGAAGGTTGTGATGATGAAACGAAAATAAAATAGTATATGTGACCTTCGATTACCAGTTTACGCAGTAACCTTGGCTGATCTTTTTCAACAACACATATCGAGGCATTATGCATAGTCATGTTGCAATAATAATTAAAATGAATCTGGAACACAGATAATAATAAAACGGTGCCACAACCATATGCGCCTGTGAAAAATGTATAACCTTTATGGAATGAAGGGACAGCGGTGGTGACTGGCGTTTTAGTTCCTCGCACATTTATTTAAAATTCGAGGTTTTGATTTTTCGTCCACGATACTCTAAAAGATTAGCGGACCCTGGTCAGTAATCAATCCAAAGAAACAATAAATTTAAAATTTGGGGTTATAATCAGTGTTTAACATGTTTTAAGCACTGTTACACCTGTGACTTTTGTCTTCTTTTTTTCGTAAATTATTCAGTTTCTTTTTCTTCTTCTCCATTTCCTAATGCTTGTAATTTTAATCGAATCACTCACAACATTTTCCCCCGCCTTTGAAGTATGCTATTATATGAACACACTGACATTTCTGATATTAGAACTATATTCTTGATAAAAATATATTTAATATGTTACAAGAAAGATAACTCCATTGTGATAGACAACGACGATCGACGATAGTAGGTATAACATATTTTTTTTAGTATATCTTAATACACAAATACATATATATTTCTTTTTAAGAACATAAACAATCATATAATGAAACTACTACACAAACGAAATACACAATCACAATAATGTGTGATATCCATAGTTGATAATTTGATTAACAGCTTTGTGTGATTTTACCTCCTGATAAATATATTTTCTGTAAAATATATCCAATAAAGAAATATGAGAAATTAACAGAATGAACATGATCAAGATCGATGTTCTTGGATTAAAAACACGATATTTTATCTATAGAAGGTGTTGATGATGAAACGAAAATTAAATACTAAATGTGACCAGTTGCTACAGTAACCTTGATCGGACTCATTTTTCAACAACAAATATCGAGGCATTTTGCATAGTCGAGTTGAAATAATAATGAAAGATTAATCTGGAACACAGATAATAATAAAACGGTGTCATAGCCAAATGTGCATGTGAAAAAAGTATAACCTTTATGTTACCGTTAAATTTAGTGAAAATAAATAAAACAAATCAGCTAAAATTAATACAAAATGCTGTATGTTCAATTTGTTATGCATATATGTAAGTGATATTTTATCCAAATATTTGAGTTATTACCATTTTTTAATCACAAATTGCGTGATATTATTTAATGGATTTAAACTTTCGATTTAAATTGAAATAAATGTTGTAAACACAGATCAATCATGCCGATCGCAGATTTAGAGGTGTGCATCTGGATCTATCTAATATGGATATGATTTATAAGCCTCGTTTTGTTCTACTTTCTTATCCTACTTGTATATCTTTTAACTTGGTGTTTGTTTTAATTATGGATACACACTTATTTTGACCCTTACTATTTTCGATCGGAAAGCACATATACTGTAGCTTTGTTGGTTTATCTTTGTGGTATTATACTTAGAAAAAACGAAAGCCGGGCGTCTGCTAGAACTTCGTGTGATGTATGAATACACATTCAAGTCCCGTTGGGATATGAATTTTAAATACGATGCAGAACCGCAATCTTTACATGTTAAATAACCCTCGCAACAACTCTACGAGGGATCACAAGGTAACATGATGCAGTGTCACATTACCTGTAATATCCTGCATATCCAAATTTTACAAAGCAGTCAAAATTGCCCGCCTTATGTACAGGAATCATCCAAAAATCTGTCGATTAAAAAATGAATCATTTTCTTCTGCGAAAATATGGAATAGTATGATAAAAAGAACAGTACGGGCTATCATGGGATAGATGTTCTTTTGAATCTCACTATTAAATTCTGTATCAGAAAAATAGAGGAAACAATTGACATCAAATTTCTACAAACAATTTACACCTTGAAGTTAAGAAATCTATTTTCTCCAAATTCCTGAATTTCATTTGGTTATTTTTTATTTTTTTATCATTGTCAATTGGAGGCAGTAATAGAAATAGCATTCGATGTCTTCCATTCAATAAATTCTTGTTCAACGTGTCATGAATTGTTTTCTGTCAGACTTTGTTTCATTTCTGTTTATTTAGACCCAATCTTGACCATGTTCAACTATGTTCAACAATGGTATTTTTTCGTGAATTGCAGATGTCTTCTTAAGTTACGATTGTTGTTTTAAAGTATTTGATTTAACTCCCCCATTCATTTCCACTTGACCTGTAACATTAACTTATGAGCATGTTTGACGTTAGGAAAGCAACAAGTAATGAATCAATTAAAACCATAATATACAACGTTAAATTAATAATGTATATTTTCATTCCTGTATTGAAAATATCTCCTTTATTCAATTCTCTTATTCCTTGCACGGCTTTTACTTAACTTTTTATTTTTGTTTTTATTTTTGTTTTTGTTTTTGTTTTTGTTTTGTTATTGCTCTTCAGCTTTGGATTTTCAGTATTTTGGTCTCGAGCATTACTGAAAGACATTTATTGTCGAAATGCGCATCTGGTGCAGAAAAATTGGTACCATTTATGTTATTGTAATATAAAGATATCGACTTACTGGATAAATTTATATTGTTCCCGACTGTTTGTATTTTTCCACCTTCACTATATAAATTGAAATTTTAGCAAATTCTATTTTATTCAGAGTAAATATGGCTTCCAGTCAAATGTGTGGACCATGTACTAGGATGGACAAATCAGCTACTGTCGTACAATTTTGCACTGATTGTGAAGATCCCTTATGCTCTGATTGTGTTACCACTCACAAAGCAATCAAGGCTCTTGCTTTGCACCATTTGATTGATGAAAAAGTTCATGTCGACAAGGCTTTCAACATCAAAAGAATATGCAGTGACCATCCAGAAATGAGTTTAGAGTTTTACTGCTCGAATCATGAAAGCTTATGCTGTCGTACATGCTCCGTGAATATCCATCGCACATGTGACAAAATTTTACCGATAGATGTTGCTGCACGTGGAACAAAGTCATCAGTAATGATGAACGATGTAACAGCAGATTTAAAGGATTTATTGAAAACTGCCGAGCAATTAGTAGAAGACCGAGCGAAAAACAAGGAAAACATTGGAAAAGCTAAAGCGACCACTCTACAAAAAATAGTCAAATTTAAACGTCAATTAATTCAAGAGTTAGATGAACTAGAAAGGAAATCAATGACGGAAGTTGATGTAACTGAGAAAACGCTTACCAAAAAGGCCGAATCTGACCTTTCAGACGTTGAAATCCGAAGAAAGACAATCACAGATATGTCAAAGCAACTGGAATTTCTTACAAAAAACGGTTCAGAAAGCCAAATTTTGATGCTGTTGAACACTATAAGAGTAGATGTTTCAAAGCAAGAAAATGAATTTCAAAATTTAATCCCGTCTTTCGATTGCAGTAATATTATCTTCAAGGCATCAGGAATAAAGTCCGTACTAATTTCGCTCGGATCGGTGGAAATCCAATCGGTTCCATGTTCAATTGCACACAAACCCTCGAAACATGCACAAGCCCAGATACCAACAGAGTATGGGAAAATGCTTACCAAATTCAAACTCAAAAATGAATTTAAAGTACCTTATTCTAACGGGAATGTAGCTAGCATTGTTGTAACGAATGATAATAGGCTACTGTTATGTTATTTCGGAGACAAGAGTAAAGCATTGTCGAAATGGTCAGAGACGGGAGACCACATTCAGGACTGTAAACTGGCTGCTCCTGCGTGGGGTATAGCTAACATTCCAGGATCAAATGTAGCGGTTGTTACATTACCACTAATTAAATCGGTTCAGTTTGTTAACATGACCAGTATGGTACCAGGCAAAGCAATGAAAGTTCCCGACGAATGCCATGGAGTAACGGTTATTAAGGACATGATAGTATTTGGTGGGAAGGGCAAATGTTATTTCCTCAGTATGACAGGAAGTCTCATGAAAACATTTAATGTCGGTAGTGGTTTCTTGTATTCACTGAAGACAGGTAACATGGATATGATATATTGCTGTGATACAAGTTATGATACACTCTATTGCATTGATATCAATGGAACTGTAATCTTCTCGTATAAATCTCCTGATTTCAAAGGACCAATAGACATGGCATTGGATGGTAAAGAGAATCTGTATGTGGCAACCTGGAAAACTGACAAATTACATCGTCTGTCAAAAGATGGGAAGCTTATTAATATCCTTCTCAAGAATGAAGATGGACTAAATAATCCGTTTGCAGTTGCTTTCAACAAGAATTATACCAAATTGTACATAGCAGACGGACGATTATGCGAAAATAAAAATGTATTGATTTTTGATTGTGCTTAAAACTGCATGCAACTCTAAAACTTACAAAACTAGATTCACCTGATAACTTGTAAAATTATATGCATAAAATTGAAACCCTGTCCTGTCCATTAAAACGAATTTTGATTTGGGTATGAATGCTCTGTTCTCCTGTTTGAAGAATTAATGTTGATTCAAAGAAAATTACAAGAACACTATATTGTACAAAGAACTCATTTTATTTTATGATATTACCACAAAGCCAGTGATTAATGCATTGATGTAAAGAAATTATACATAAGAGGTGAATATCAATTTACTGTTTCTTGGCAATGTTGTTTTACAATGGTGGGCTATCTCTGAAGTATAAAAATGTATTATTTGTCAATTATGTGTCTGGTGAAGAAAAATTAATTGTTTTAATCAAAGTTGTACAAATTCTCTTTCAATGTTGACAAAATCCACATCTTTTAAGCATATTTATATATATAAATAAATGATTTATAATTATTAGTGTCAGATATTATTAGAGACAACTCTTAAATGCACTAAAAAAATGTTTGACTTTTTCTCGTTTTTGAACCTTTTGAAGATTACAGCCTATTGAAGATACAACTTGCATATGTGTTGGCTACTTTCTGTGAAGTGGCATATGTATAAAAAGTGATGTGAAATTTCATAAAACATATAAACAATAGATATAGAAAGATGTGGTATGAGTGCCAATGAGACAACTCTCCATCCAAGTTACAATTTATAAAAGTAAACCATTATAGGTCAAGGTACGGCCTTCAACACGGAGCATTTGCTCACACCGAACAGCAAGCTATAAAAGGCCCCCAAAAAATACTAGTGTAAAACCATTCAAACGGAAAAACCAACGGTCTAATCTAAATAAAACGAGAAACGAGAAACACGTATGAACTACATAAACAGACGACAACTACTGTAATCAGATTCCTGACTTAGGACAGGTGCAAACATTTGCAGCGGGATTAAACGTTTTAATGGTACCAAACATTCTTTTCTGAAACAATAGCATAACATCACAACATAGAAAAACACACTATAAAATATCAATTGGAAGGCTTAACTCAATCAAAAAACGTAAATTAACACACAATGAACGAATAAATTTGACATGTGACACCTGAATGCAAATACACAGTTAATAAAAAATTGCAGGGGATAAATGATTAAAGTCAAAAGTAAATAAACAGGTTTAAACAAAGTTAAAGTATGATATCACTGTGAAATGTCAAACAATTTTTTGAAAATCATCATTTTTGAAGAAACCTGCGTCATATTATACACAGGTAAATGAAAATAATTTTGTTGTTAAGTATACTTCTTCTTCTGTGTGTATAAAATCTTCCGTTTAGGAATATCAAGAAATTTCTTTAATATCAATAAAACTAATCTAACACTTTGTACATATAGGGTGAATATCAACAATAAAACTATACAATTAGTGCTAGATAAAACTTCCTGTACAGGTCCAAGAACAGCATCTAAGGAAAAATGAAATAATTTTGATGTTCATAGTACGAAGAAGTGAAAATTTGTAGTAATACCAAATAATCAAAGCTGGTATATAGACAAGATCCATGTTAACATAAAGTAAAAAAAAAGCATTACAAATAGTATCAACAGGTCAAATTAAAACGAAAGTACGATTTGAGAGTACTCGCAGTTACTGACAGCTAGTTAAAAGCCAAAACAATTAATAATAAAAAATCATGCATCAGAGACTAAAATCAACTAAAATACATCCCAGGGATTTAGTATTTTAACGTCATGAACAGTCAAAGAAGACATGACTTGTGCAATGCCAAAAATAAATGTATCGACATGTTTAGGATAGTTAGGAGAGACTTCTTTATAGATAAAAATGAACGTGTGTGTGTCTCTATACATCCCGTTTGAAAAGAAAATACAAATTTAGTTATGTTTTAATATGCTAATGACAAAATCGATATTAGTGCCAATGTAAACTATATTCAGAGATCTAATTACAACATTGGTACGATAACCCTTACTAATAAGTTTGTTTAAAGGTTCGATGAGTTTACACGGATCACATAATATTTCCGCGTTTTAAGTACAATATTACCATACAATTTAGGATGTAAAATAAGCATTTATGTATTTATATTTTTGTGAGGTTAACCTGTCTAATAATTATTTTTGCTTGAAATGATAAAGCATTTGTTATTCGCTACTTGACCAAAATTTATGATTCGTGTCATTTGAAGACCTCCAATATTAAATAACAGTGATTGACTGCAGAAAAGTGAAAACAATACGATTTGAGCCACTGCATAAATATGAATATTCAGTTTTATGTACACAAACACTTAAAAATGTACCAATTACTTCCCTTTCCATTGAACTTCCTCGTGGGATTGTTGCCTACCTCCAAATGGAGGGATTTTTCAAACTGGGTCTAAAAAATGGTTTATAAATGAGAAATAGTAAGCAAATGCAAAGAAAAGCACAAGTCACAATGAAATAAAAATACTGTGTTCAACATATTTTGAGTGAATAAATATGTGAATGAAGAAAATATTTAATGTAGAAAAGAAAGTTCTTTAAATTTTCATTTAAAGACTTTTAATAATGATAATTAACCTATTTCTCTGACGTCAGTCTATTGTTCTTACAGTAGATTATTTTTCATGAATCCACTGACCACTTCGTTAACTTAAGATAACTTATTTTATAACTTTAAACTTTTAACTTACGATTTGTTATCCTCTCAAAAACGAGTGGCATATGAAGGGTTCGAACTCGCGCGTATTTTCTTCATAATCAGTAGAGTCTTCAGTCTATGCATGATACCACTATACCACGAGTGCTGACATAAATCAATATTTAAATAACACTCATAAAGCGCACAACTATCAATACATGTCAATAAACTGTATGTCTGTCTCAGAGATAATTCGCTTTTGTTATCTAATAAAATATATATTCTATGTCTGGATTTGTTCATGTTCTTTTCAAATTATTTAAATTGTTTTATTTTGGGCGTTATTTTTTAAGGAAGATTATTTTCTACATTTGAACGTTCTTGATTATAGTTATATAGCAGTATGGAAATATCTTAAAACAGAGTTTATTCACGATGTCAGGTTTGAACATTGGTCGATTTTCAACATCGTTATAATGAACCGATGGGTCTTTATACGATTGTGGCTATTACACACTAGTTCTAAACACTAGAGAATCAAGGAATTGTATATATAAGTGCAATTCTTTGATAAAATAAACATTCATATGCCCATTACACTTGTCACTTTTAACGTACTAGGACTTTTCCTTTTTATCATAGCAAATACTTACTTATGGTTTTAGTCTTATAATGATATCGTACTATCAATATTTTTTTCTTTGTTTGATTATAAATGGTCCAAATATACATCACGTCAACACTGAACGGACTCTAATTTGAATAAAGTGTGATATATAAGCTACGACCGTAAAACTACTTCTTTGATTGTAAAACCAGAAACAAAATCATCGCCTTTAAATGAAAATGAAGTATATAATACCTCTAAGATTAAAACAATATTTTTGTTGAGAAAAAAATTACAATGAAAAAAATTTCAATTCGGGTACAAGGTTTGAACTTGGCACTGTTAATGTCACAGTTATGTTTTTCGGTACCAACGACTAGACGATCACGGCTATGAACAGCTTGAATGTAAAAGTAAAAAATTTACATAAGTATACATTGTACATCTGTAGCAAGAGCAATTCTGCAGGAGATTCAGAATGCGTACCACAGATAATACTAGTTTATTGACTGGTTTACGATGGATGCCAAATGTAATAACGTTAAAAATAATCTAAACTTAATGAAAGGGAAACAGTTTAAACAAAATTCATGTATAATTGTTCAAACAAGACCTTAAGCAATTATTTTATTTATTTCCGAAAGCATCATTAACTGGAGCATCATGAAATTGTAGTATTATGGCAACTACGCTAAATATATGTATTTGACTTAGTACGGTTAAATTGTAGACAATCCTTAATCAGCTGTCAACAATAGCAGATTGCTAAATACTATATATGTAAATTTCAAAGGTTTCTAAATTTTGGTAATTACAATTTTTTAACTATTCAAAAAAAGATAAATGAATTCTGTATATTTATATATGTCTTTTTGAATAAATCATAAATACCAAAATCTATATAATTTAAATACTTTGTAATGATAAAGCATTAAATGAAATATAAATATACAAGTATGAAATCTGGTAATAAAAAGGGGAGCTAACAACCCATTTAAGTTATATTAAACGTATGTTAACTTAAATATAGACGTGAACCGTGTGGATATAATCATTTCCAGCTATTATAAAATAAAAAAGACAAAATACGAAATTATTTTTATGAAATTCCGTTGATTCATTGTCAAAACATAAAACAGACAGTCGTTTTACTAGAAATGGGTTAAGCTAGAGAATTGATAAGAAGTAGTGGATTCGGAAACGATAATCAACTTGCGACTAAAGTCGCTCGTTGATTTTCGTTTACGAATCCACTACTTCTTATCAATTCTCTACTACTTAATCATACATAGGAGAAATGAGATTTAACGACAGTTGCAAATTTTTAATTAGAGCTAATATCCTAATGCTTGTAGATTAAGACTTTGATTGGCTTGCTTGCTTTGTTTGTATAGATGTTTGCTCAAACATTGTAATCAAGATTGACATCTACAAACAATATAGATAGGCAGAGTTAATCCAGTATATATTAATTTCAATTTAGATTTGATTGGACATTATCAAATAATCAAATTCAAGTATAATGTATACAGGTTTAACTCCGCCTATTTGTAATGTTTGCAGATGTCAATCTTAATCACATTACTTGAGCAAACTTTACACCAACAAAGCAAGCGAGCCAACGAAAGTCATTATCTACAAGCTTTATGTTATTAGCTCTAACGTACGAAAGCCCAGAAGGATCATGCGAGATTCGATATTCGAAATTCGAGATCCAATATCCGAAGTTCAAAATTCGGAATTCGAGATTCGAGATTCAATATCTTTATTTCGAGATTCGAGATTCGGAATTCTATATCCAGTGTAACCAATCAGAAGAGAGTTTCTAAGTTTTAAAATCTTTTAGACCGATGAAATGAAACATCTTATCACAGGAAAAGATAACAAAATGCAGCGACTGAATAGATATCTCGCATACTAGTATATCAAAACTAATCACACGAAACGGAAGCAACAAATGAAATGGCGGCGTTCACTGTTACGGATAAGTACAAAATAACAGTTCGTGGTAAGAATGGAAAATATTCCTTCATCATTGAGAAAGATTTCACTTACGACGAACTAGGTAAGATGTTTTTTTCATATACTTGGAATTGGGGAGAGGGTGCAAAACTTTAGATTGTGTTTACACGTATTTTACTGTAACTGTATATGAACGAAG